GGGGAATAGTTAAGAACAAGTTAAACCGTGTATTTGCTTTCTATTCCGAGACAATTTGGTGAATTTATCCAGCCAGGTTAAAAAGTTTACCCTCAGGGTGTTTGGTATAACAGAGAATATTTTTCGTGGAAATATTTTTCAAGAAAATATTTTTTTGGAAAACAAGTAGTAAATTTTATTTATTTTACGGTGTTTGGTACGCAAATTAAGGGAAATGACTTCTCAAGAATATTCATAAATAATTTAGATATAATAACCATGAAGCCATAAACTTTCAAACCAACAACCTTCCAGACCTACAAATTTCATAAACTTTCGAACCGCTAAACTTTCGAAACCGTAGAATTTCGAACCCGTAAACTTCCAAACACATAAACCTCCGAACTCATAACTTTGGAATTTGTAAAATTTTGAACCTTTAAACCGATAAATAAAAAAATTAAAACTGAAAAATATATTTAAAAAATATTTTTTTCCGGTGAGGGAGGGGCAGGTGAGGAGGTGGGTAGGTGGTGAGTGGTGCAGAAATATGAAAAAACATAAATTTGAAATTGCAAAAAAAAAAAAAAAATAAGGTAACAAATGTTGTAGGGTGGGTGAAAAACTGAAATTTAAAAAAAAATGCCTTTTTTGGAGAGTGAGATGGGAAGGTTGAGAAGGAGTTTTGGAAAATATTTTCTCTTCTCTTGATTAGGAAAATGAGTTCATAAGGAAAATGTTTTCCAAAATATTTAAGCCAACCAAACATGGGTAAATTGAAAAATATTTTCTAGAAAATATTTTCCTTCGTACCAAACACACTCTAAATTGTTTATCTGATGAACCAAAGCACAATGATTGGGCCTTGACAGCAGAGGTGGAGCCAGAATTTCAAGTTTATGGATTCAGGATTGTAATTGTTTTAAGTTTATTGGATTTTAAATTAATAATTTATATTTATTCAATAAATTTTGTAAGACAAATATAAAGTTCGAACCAAAACTATTGGGTTCAGCCGAACCCGTTCTCGACACTCTAGCTCTGCCCCTGCTTGACAGAGAATGCACATGCCAAATTCTAACTAGTTTGGCGCTAACACTGAATGCAATTAAGTTTTTTTTACCGTTACTAGGACAACCGACGAAATAGCCAAAGCAATTTTAGTCAGCGCAGTTTATCAATGCTAGAACTAATTTGTCAAGTATGAGTAATATACATATGTTCAATGCTAGTATAATTCAAATGTTAATAGGGATGGCAAATGGGGCGGTGCGGGTGCGGAATGATGTGGGTTTAAAGCTATGCAGGGCGGGTTGAAATAATTTTTTAAAAGACTGATGCGGTGCGGTTGTGGGTCTATGCGGGTTTGCACAAGTTTACTTAATTTGGCCTACTGTATTATCTAGTAATAAGACATGCAACAAACCTTAAATAGCATAACATCTATTTAAATGTTTGATACTTCATAAAAACAAAGTAAAACATTTATAACCTCTTCTTTTTTTCAAGTACACCTTTTAATAGAATGTTAATTAAGTTAGAAATTTTCAATAAAAGAAAAAGTTAGACATTTAAGGGAATATAAAATATAGTTTATACAAATATTTAATGATTAAATAATCAACATTTATCACTTAATCATCTAATGAACGCTCGAAAATTGTTTTCAAATTCCAAAACCATAAGCATAACATTCAGGTTTTTGTCAATTTCCAGCATTCCAATTAAACAATTCAATACATGAGCTGATGAGCATAAGCTTTTCATTTTTTGGTTGATGAAATAAAAAATCCAGCAACAAAATTAATTAAAAAAAAACTAGCAAAATGAAAGAAAAAAAAAACACTTTTGTGGGGAGGAGCGGGGCAGGTGGACGCGGGTGTGGGTGTGGGGCGGGTGGATGCGGGTGAAAATGCTATGCGGGGCGAGTTGAAATCTTTGCGGACCGTACCGCACCGCACCGGGACGTTTGCATCCCTAAATGTTAATAACTTTCTAGAGTAAAAAGATGAAAGACTATAAGTTATGCATACAAAAGAAAGAAAAAGTATACAACTTTCTGCAAATAAACTGCATTGTCATTATTACAAAAGTAATTCCAGTTAATTACATGATTACAAATGAAAAAGTTTAAACCCCATATCCAACTAAGCTACAATTCTTGTGCACATAAGTGCAGAGTGAAGAGGTCTTCATTGAGTTTGATATATATATATATATATATATATATATATATCAAACTCCATTACCATATCCCACAAACCATTAAATTGTAGGAGCAGAAAAGAGTTTTGTAAGCTATAGACAACAAGATATATGCGCGCGCATTCTACAAAATCTTACTGCCAGGAAGTTCAATCCACTGAAGTTGGAGTTCAACTTCTCCACATTCAACATTTCTCAACCTTAGTATCATATCTTGAACAACCTTACCATCTTGCCATACAACTCTACTCTCTTCGGCGAGGCAGTTTGTCCTACAAGGCAGTACTCTTGTAATTACAGTGCCAGATGGGAGACCATCTAAGTTCATCTTCAGTGCTTCTACAAATGGTTTTATGTCAAATTCTGCATCTCCCATTTTGTCGTCCATGCTGAACGTGTCGTGATCATAAACAGTCTGCAAGCAGATATAATAAACAAACATCAACCGATCAATCAAAATGCTTCTTAATCCCGAATTATTTGTGATCGACTATACGAATCCTCTATATTCGTTCTATTCTTTTGTACTTTATCATTGTGGAATACTTAGTCATGTTAGTACCCCGAAAAGCAGGCGAAAGAATGTTGGAGACATAATGAAGTAAATAAAAGTGTGTTTTCTCTAACAGCTTAAATTTTTAGATGAGACAGTCACACACTTTAATATGGTAGCTAGCAGAGCAGGCAGAATTTTCACGTGCTTGGCTCCAGAGGCGTAGCGAGGATTTGAAGTTTATGGGTTCCGAACTTGCTACCGAACTCATAACTCATTTAGTTACTGGGTTCGCAGTTAAATATTTATATATATTTAGTTACTTTCTAATACAAAACATGGTTTAAGCAAAAACTACCGGGTTCATCCGAACCCGTTAATCATACACTACCTCCGCCCATGCTTGGCTCATCAAAAAGAATCAAGTCTGCACGTGAGTTTGCGTGTTGGAGATATAGTATGTTCTCTCCAACATCTTAAGCTTTTTAGATGAGATGGTCATACACTTCAACAAAGAAAATAATGACCGAAGAATGTATTTTTGTTAAGGATTGTTATACAAATAGCCGACCAGGAAATTAAGGAAATTTATGTTATACTATGCAGCAAGAAAATTTACCAGCTTAACAGGAAGACTGGGATCAGAGACAGAGAGGGTCAGTTCTTCATTCCACTCAGGATTAATATCCTTCTTTATAACTCGCGTCTTCAGTTTCTGCATTTAAGTTAAAACGTAAGCAAGTCCAAAATTTGTGTTAGAGCAATTAATATAGGCTTACATATAAAAGAGTAAAAAGAAAAAACTTGTAACTGCCAAAATCCAAGTTCTCAACCTAAAATATCCCAATTCCCAAGCAGCTTAAAATTTACAAATTAGCCAAAGCCATGAGAGAAAAGAAGAGCCAGTTATGGGATTTCCATGAGTTTTTCTTAGTTCAATAATAGCTGCTTTAAATCCTTCATTTTCAAAGCTTTACATCTCCAACTGAACCTGAATTACGAGTATTCAGGGAATATTTTATATGCAACAGAACAGTGTATGGAAATTATATTGTGTATGTGGATTCAGAGGTGTATCCAGAATTTTAAGCCTATGGTTACTACTGTTAGATTAGTTAGTGTTTGATGGGAAGTATTTGAGAAGAGGTTGTTTGTCCCTCATTGGAAAAAGAAAAAAAGGAAGAGGTGTTTAAAACCATTTCTTTGTCTTATATAGTTTGAAATTTTTTAGGGTGTTTTGGAGGGAAATTGGAATTTGACTATATTATTAATAATCAAGATTGGGCACTTGGGCTTTGGGCCAATTAAGTAGCCTGAATTAATGTTTTAGCCACCCATTATTTGATTAATTAAAAACGTTTTTAGCCTTTTAATTTCAGAAAAACGTTTTATATTTCTTTTTTAAATTTAAAAGAAGGTGGCTATTGGTTTTAAAAGGTGCCTGTTATGAAGAGATGAGTCTGTTAATTCCAACAGACTCCTAGAGGTATTATAAATACCTATTTCATCTCCAAAACGAAATTATCTGAAACTTTCATCTCTTTCTCTTCTACTTATTTTCTACAACTCACAACTATTTTGTTCTTGTGGGAAATTCGAGTTAATTGTTGAAACTCGAATTTCAGAGGCTTTGTAGAATCCTGGAGGAATTCTGTCATAATCCATGCAGCAACGAAATTGGGAGGCTTAAATTCCTTAAGGACAGTGACTACACTATCAAGGCCAAATTATTTCGTCCTATATTCTATTATAATTTCTAACACCTACAATGATCTCAAGTTAATATACATAATAAAAAGGACAAACGAATTCGGTTCCAAGTTAAATATTCTTATACTTTTAATGAGTTTTTTAGTACAATATAGGGTCTATGAAAAAGTTTCTGAGTTCACGTAAACTCGTAACATTTGCACTATCTCCGCCCCTGTATAGATCAATACTATTTTTATGCGTATATCTTAATCCAGAACATCGTTAGTAAAATTCCTGATTTCGCTGCTAATTATATAGTATTCATGACCCGGTGTTTATGTTTACGGCTGCTTCGAAACATGTCTAGAAGTAGAATCTAGAAATTATATTATCCTATCAAAAAGGGAGGTCCGGACCACAAGGATCTATCGTACCCAGTTTTATCTTGCATTTTCGCAAGAGGCTGTTTTCACGGTTCAAACCCGTGGCCTTGCTCACATGGCAACCTATCAAAAAACTAAAGTTAAAAGTATATAGAGGAGGAAAGAAAGAGACCTGTTTTTTACCCATCTTGACAACACAATAAGGATCACTGGTTCGAACATCACGAACAGCAAGGTTAACTCCTCTCTTTATTTTGATTCTCAGTAGTCCCAAAAGGTTGTCCATTAATGATTTTGTTGCACTTGCTGCTCCTGCTCCTTTGCTGTCTGGTGTTTTTGGTGATGACTCCATTTTTTTTTTATATCTTTAGCCTCCCCTCCCCTCCTTTATATACTTAAAATAAATCTATATGTTTAATTAATATTATGAACATACCAAATTAATTATTGGTTCTTTTCACCAACGTTTTTCACGAACACCCTTCCCACCAACTCAAACTCGATATTATCTGTCGAATCTACCACACACAAAAAAATGGAGTTATTCAAAAAGAAATAATTAAACAGTGGCATTGTATGTTAGACTGTTACGATAACAACATCAGAATCTCCCGAATATAAAATGAGAATTACACTCTTAATTACTTCTGAATACCTTTAAAGAAAAATATTTAATAACTTAATAATAAGAGTTTTTGTGTAATTACTTTTTTGTCTTTCTTCAAATGTTCCACTTAATATAATTTTTTACTACTTGAAACAGTAAGAGTAGATTCAGGAAAAAAATTAGTGGACAAAACATAATAAAGGGTAGCCCGGTGCATTAGGCTCCCGCTATGTGTGGTGTCCGGGGAAGGGCCGGATCACAAGGACCTATTGTAGGCAGTCTTCCTCAGCATTTCTGCGAGAGGCTATTTTCATGGCTCGAACTCGTAACCTCCTGGTCACGTGGTAGCAACTTTACCAATTACAGCAAATTAAAGCTCCCCTTCTTTTTTTATAAAACATAAAATATTTTAAAAATAAATTTAATTTGCTAAAATAATTAATATTGGACGAAAGATATGATAGAACAGCACAGAAAGTGCAGAAATAAAACGTTACACTTTTCTTCTTAGGCCCATCTGTAATAGGAATCTTTCTAAAAAAAACTTTTGGTCTACGCCACAGATAGTGATGTATTTGGAAATGAGCTTAGCACCAATGACTAGGGTGTACAAAGCAAACCGACAAACCGCACCAACCCGATAATTCGAGTCAAACCGAGAAAAAAAATCCGATTATAGTTTGGTTTGATTTGATTTGGTGTTGGAAAAAAAAACCCGACCATAATGGTTTGGTTTTAACTAAAGAAAGTCAAACCGAAACCAAATCAACCCCACATTACATATATAGAAATTTTAGATATATTTAATATATAAATATACTTATTGTGATGTAATTTATAAATATTTCTTAAAAAAATTCATAAGTATTATTTCAAGGTTGGACTTAGAACTTTTGAATGCTCCAATAAGTTTTATAGTCATTAATATTAGTAAATTAAATAATGGTAACAAAAGCCCAAACCAAAATTAAATCAATACTAATGCTAACAAAAGACATTCAATTCAATAGTAAGAATGAGAATTTATTGAATATTTATTTTTTGTTTTGCAATAATTTAGATAAAAATGCATAACCTATTTTTATTTTTCTTTAGCTAGCGTTTAGTCATATAATTAATACTCCCTTCTCAGTCTATTTATTTTAGCATGACTTAGTACTTTTAGATTATGTTTATTTTTATTATAGCTTTTTAATTAGCAATGTTTATATTACATAATTTTATTGTCTTTATTGTTGAATATTTTAGGATAATGCTATGACACATTTCATATTTTGTATTATTTTCTTGGAAAATACTTTATATAGTTGTATCTTATTAGGATTAAAGAAATATTTTGAGCATACATTATATGTTTTGTTCTACGAAGATTTTACCGGGAAAAAAACCTCGAAAAACCCGAAAACCCGAGAAACCCCGAGAAAAATCGAGATTGAAAAACCCGAGTTTTATTGGTTTGGTTTGGTCTTTAGATTTAATAACCCGACACAATTGGTTTGGTTTGGTAATTATAAAATTCGAATCAACCCGGCCTATGTACAACCTATGACCAACCAAGAGGAACAAATAATCTTAATCCATTTTGGAAAGAGATCTCAGTACCAATAAATCAAATCACAATGACTTGACACCTTTTGTCTTTAATAATGCATTCAAATGAAATAACCCCCTTAAATAAATATAATTGGCCTAAACAATTAGTACTAATGTCAATGTTAAAAATAATGTATAATATAATTGCATGTTACTATCAAGTTCTCACGTGGTCATTCAAATAGTGATTGATGTCAATGCTACTAGTTCTAATGAAGAAAAATATATAATTTGATAGTGATTAACATTTCAACAAACTTTGTTAATACTTTTCATGGTGGAAAAAATAATAAAGAAATAAAATTCCAATGGTTCCTTGACTCTAAGATGGCAACAAAACCCAAGTATATCTCTTTTCTAAAAAAAAGAAAGAAATTCTACTATACTAGGAGATCAAGAATAGAGAATGTTCCCGTAAAACTTACGATGATTATGTTACAGGCGCCCTGACTTTCGAATTATAGAAAGAAGAAAGAGAAGGGTGTTAGGATGAATTTATTATTTGTTCTTATTGAGGGAAGGTGAAGACATAGACAAAGAGAAACAAAGACGAATAGCTATTTGACAAAGGAAATTTCAAGAAATAAGAGTTTCAGTTGACAATGGTTGGTGCCTAATATGTTTCATGCTTAATTCTTGTCCACTAAGCAAACGGATAAAGCGATATGACATAGTCTTTCTATCCATGTTTTTCTCAATTTATGTTTGAAGAAGCTAAAAGATTAATCACTTCAGATTATTGGGGAAAAAATTAAGTTTTATCCACGAAAATATTAAAAACAATTTTGCACGATCACGTAATTCGATCGATCGGTTTCAGCAAGCTATTTAGCATCAATTTCTAGTTATCAACTCGTAATTAGTTTAAATACTTATCCAGAGTAGATAATTTTCTTACCTAATTATATATGTATTTCTTTACACTGTGTCCGTCATGGACAAGATTAAAAATAAATCACTCTAGCTATCTTTAATGAGTACTTCTCATTTTCCATCTATTATCCAAATCTTCTTCATTTTCAGTTGAGTAAGATCAATGGCTTAAATCTATGTCCAATATTCTTGTTGTCCCTCTATGTCAAGTAAGAAATTTGAAATACATGGCGTACACAGAATTTTTGGTAAACGATCTCACAATTAATCAGTGGATACACCTTCGTTACTAGTAAGATCACCGTGTATGATGTGCAGATTATGCGCAATCACAAATACGACCCCTGGCACAAACAATAACTTGGTATATTTTTCTATATGAAGTAGAGGTTAAGGCGAGACAATTCGAGGCAAATCCTTGACACACTTTCTTTAGATTACCAACATTGTTAAACTCAAAAATAGGATGCACGAGCAACATATAGTTCAAATTTGGACGTCATGATAGCTGCATTCGCTGCTAGCACACTGGCGGCCAAGTTGCTTAAATAAAAGCGGAAAGCGCGCCGTTTACTAAATATTTTAGAGAGATGAGCAAAAAAATTCTAATGTGATTCCAGAGAAAATAAGGTATCCAATACTCTAATTTCCAGTTATGAAATATTGCTCTCTCCATTCCCAAATTACTTTAACATTAGTTTTTTCTAGGAATATTAATTGACAGGAACTATAGACCATGTTGGACAAAGATTTCATACTCTTATGTGTTTAACATACGAAGGCCTAGAAACTCTGTGATTACTTACTGTTCGAGGCTGAACGAAGCCATGGGGTTGAACCCACCATGACAAAAACCAAGAAAACGAGAAATAATGTAATCCAGAGCCCGCAAAGACATGAAAGTATGTAAATGGAGACAACATCATGTATATTAAACTGTTTCTCTAACTTAAACCAGAACAAGAACAAGAGATGAGGCCAACCTTCAGTTCTAGCAACACCAATCACCTTCTCCAAATGAAAAAATATTTGGTAATTTCATATCAAAAGCAAATAACACCAGTATCAAGCAAGATCCATTATTTTCCAAGGATAACTTTATTTACAACACTAACAGGCAAGGCATAAGCAGGATCTATAGGTTTCAGCCCTGGATATTCAAGAAGTGAAAGCCCTGCAGTGCAGAAAATACAAAGGAATAATAAGTTGTAACAATTGAGGTCGAAAAGTCAAATTTAGCCATTGCCAACAATTGGAAAGAACAGAAGTAGCTCTTAGAAAAAGTTTCCACAAACTTCCCTATAAAATTTGCTTCTAGTTTTATTACTTAATGAATAGAAAATTATGGAAGCCAAGAGTAAAATACTGTTTCCACATAAAGAGAACCAGTATAAAAACAGTTGACAACCATGCATGTACCGTCGCTATGAAAATGTCTCAGCAGTATAAAGAAACTCATCCAACAACGAAATTTAAAAATGCAGTTACAACTTTAAACTAAATGGATCAAAAGGAGTTCACTCAATAAATCTGTCTTCCTATTGCTCACTTGCCTTTTAACATAAATTTATACCATTTGAAATTATCTTGGATGCAGAAGGAGGAGTTGTGTATTGCAATCTCTTTTAGAAACAAACATGTGATGCACATCATTTTCCTAACCTTGCCACCCCTCCACCAGAAAGGTTGGCATCATTGATTGAATTGCTAATGCACCCATGGCGGGCGTGTCTGTAAACTCATGATCTTTAACCAAGTACATGGTTAACACACACATGTTGGGTGTTATTCCAAGATACCACATTAGTAGTCAGAAAGGTTGGCATCATGGCTCAAGTTAATGTGAATGGCTTGTTATGAACACCATTGTTAGCTCAGAATCTTACAGGTAATGACTCGTGTACCACAACACAACATGTAACTGACAAAAGTTTTAGATCAGCTTCTTATATTCTAAATAGACTTCCAAGCTTCCATCTTTCAATTCTCATAGATATGAAGTTAGCATGCTCAAAGCATGATGTCCACCATGTCATTACAGACAAAAACACACAAACCATTTGCAATCAGCATGGTCAACTAACTCTTACCAGCAACTCCAAAGTAAGTGTGGAAGACATCAACCGCATCATCTGGCCTATCTGATATTCCACCCTTCTCTTTATCCTACATTCACAAAGGAAGGAAATTTCTATAAGCTGATGATGGAGTTGTACAATTACATGAAAATATGATATCTATGGCCAAGATTCAACAAAAAGATGGTCAAATTCAGATGTAACCTGACAGTCCAAAATAAATTTTGCAAGCTTCTCCTTGTTGATCCAGTGCACTCTGTCAATCATGATTAAGCTGGAAAGAACCCACCAAGAGTAGCAGACCTGAGAGGAAACAACAGGAATATCAATAAAGATCAAGTGACATGCAAATAGAAATTAGCAAGAGTAACTAACATCAGGAAGCTTCTCGGGACGCCCATTTAGACCTCCAGATTTAACTTGTCTTTCGCATAACCACCAACCAAGGAGGTCCTTATCAACATGATGCAGAGAACCAGTTATTGCAAGAGCTCCCACACAACAGAAAACTGCAATGAAGAGGCATAGTATCGATTGCAGTCCAATAATGCAGCAAAAAGTGACTTATATATGATAGGAATACTAGCGAAAGATGGAAACTAAATGGAACACAAAGAGCTTAAAAACCAACAAATAGCCGAAACATTGTTCCCTCCCTCTAACTTTTCATCAATAATATGGCTTTGACTAACTCTCATATAGATCGAATGATTAAAGAAAAAGATTTTATGTAGAGAAACTAAATCCTCCAGCAAACCCTATTTGTTCCATGCAAAAGAAGAGACAAGCAAAATATAAGGATTTTTATTTCAGAGCATTCCCAGTTTGTTTACATCAGTTGTTTCACCAATCTAGGACCTATAAATGGATAATTTATCTCGATTGAACGTTTATTAAAAGCATAAAATAACCATAAAGAGTCATCGTGCTCTATCCATTGCTCGTGACTCTTTCAAATCTTTTGACAACTTGAAATATCATGCAACACCAGTACCTTCTACTGATGATTTTGTCACTTTACTTATTGCCAACTAATCCTGGTTTCTGGTATAAGTGCTTATTGTCTTGGTTGTTGATCTAGATATCAAATGATAGTGCGCTGTTATGGGAATTAATTACAATGACTTAGGAGTAGAATCCTTAAGTGGAACATGAAATGTGAAAATCTTGGAAAAAAATTGCGTCTGAGCAATAGAAACAAAATTAAAAAACTCAAATTAGATCTTGTTCATGTTTTAGTTCAAACAACTAATGGAAGTATGATAAAATTCATCATTTCTTTGTTCAACATACTTTGCCCAGCATGAGATTCTGCTCCAGGTGTGCATCCAAATCCACCATCCACATTCTTGCAACTTACAATATATTTCACTGCTTTTCCAACATCAATTTTATCCAACTGGCGCAGCAATGCTAGAGAACAGATTGCAATGTAAGAGAACCTAAAAGAAGACTTAATTTAGGTCACACCATTCTCAAATTACTGCTAATACTAGTAGTTTTCAAAGCCGAATATCTAAAATTATAGCTAATCCCTGCTATAATAAGTAAAATTTAAGGGGGAAAAAAGAAACGAATTCTACACTGAAGCATGCTGAAATACATAAACAGTAAACAAAATGAGCAGCTATTACCGTGTGTCAACTTCACCCCACATGTCACCAGAAAAGGATCCATCTTCATTTTGCAGGCCTGCAATATCTGGCCGAAAAAGTCAAGTATATCCTTGGTTATACAGATTCTCAATTGGTGTCTAATGGACTCAATGCCAATTAATTAATTCATATTAATCAACTGATGAGTGTCTTCTACAATAGTTTCACCATATTTTAGGTATCAAAGAACAATCTCACCAAACGAGCCAAACATATCCAAGTACTGGTTTCTAAGTTATCGGCAAAAAAGCAGTCAATGCTATTAGTGTTACAGAGTTCATAGATACAGATGAGATCTAAGAGATCCATGGACAGAAATTCTGCTGCAATTACAGACATGACGAAGGATACAGCTTGACACCTTATCAATGTCAAGAACATGTAGTTTATCAAATAGGGCCAAGACTTGAATAGCACTGAGTGTATACAGCATATGCGGATCATGTCCAATGTTACCACCAAATCCACCTGCATATTAGACAAATGGAGAAGTGAACTTTTAAATAAAGATCATGTAGAGTAACTTAATCCAACAAGGGAGAGTAAAAGAGAAAAGTGAAAAAGAACAAAAGAAAAAGACAGGCATCCTTTTAAAGAGCAGCTGGCAGACTAGCTGCAGTAAAGTATGACAAAGTTGGAAATAGGCCCAAAATTTTACTGTCACAAAACAAAATAAAGTGCAAGAAAACACACCGGATTCGTGTTGGCACTGCATGACCCATGAAATAACTTCATCTTTATCCACAGCATCAAGCTTTCCCAAAATATCAAGAGTTGTCAATCCCCAGTATGCCCCATTTAACCTCAGATGCTCCATCACCACAGATTCAAAATCATCTTTCCTCTGAAGTTATATGAGCACATTTTAGAAATAAAAATAATATCATATATAGAGATACAGTAAGCAACAGATCCACAAAAAATAATTTATTAACTATTTGACTCATCTTAAACGTAA